ACATAATCCGGTAAAGGATTCCAGATTCAAATTAAGATCTTCACAGGCTATTGAACAATGAAGATTCGTTATCATGCTAATGTCTACCGTAACGGTTTATTATATGACTTTCACTTCTACTACCAGGTACAAGTACATTGTACTTGGTGAATGTGTCGCTACATATGTTTTCTTCTTAGAATTCTGCGAATTTCAAGGCCCCTCGAGCACGATGATGCTGATTATAACGCCCAAATACTAGGTTAATTGAAATCTTTGATATATTTAAATATTAAATTTATACCCACTCATCGATATAGCTTGTATCAAATACAAAGGGTTATGTTAATGATTATCTATATCTCATGTGGTAATTTATAAATAAATTATAATTTTATCTCCTTTACCGTAAAGCATGTCATAGCAATGATTAAATATATATAGATTGGAAAAGCGCTAAGTCAGCCCAACCTGTACATGGATCATATTAACTCATTCTTCGTCTGTTTATGCAGCGTTTAATTTCTTTTATTTGGAATCTAAATTGTGTGCAATTGACTGAAACAAAAATATAACTTTTTAATTTCGAAGAAAAAGTACATTTGAATTTTATCTCTTTTAAAATCATTTATGTGAATTTACAAGAGTACCTCCTTTTGTAATATTTATTCTAATTAGTCGCAAGGAGAATACATTTTTACCTCTATAAATTCAGGTCTATATAAAGCAATAAAAAATCCACACATTTGGGACCTTTGTATCAAATTTTTAATGTATATGCATTAATAAATGAGTTGCACTCAAAATGCACGATTAAAAATTAAATCTAATTTAAAAGCAGCTGTCTTCCTGCTCAACCATGAAAGCAATAATATTAAATTTCATTGACAAAACATTTCCTATGTTTTTCAAATGACGTCTTTTTAATGACCAAGAGTAGCGGAATGCAGACTTTTAACAAGATTTGTCCGGTGTAAAGACGAATAATGACCCCCATCGAATAATGACCGGGGGTCATTTTTCGCGTAGAATATTGACCGGGAGTCACTTTTCGCTTTCGAAAAATGACCCCCGGTCATTATTCGATGGGGGTCATTATTCCTATTTACACTGGCACGTTAACGTTTTTTGCCAGTTCCCTATATTTTTTTTACATGATTTTATTACCGAATTAACTGGTTGAAAAATATCATTTGCAGTGAGGTGGAATACTTTTTGATGTAGATAAGGAAAGCTGATGACGGAAAGCTGAAATCATGTTGTTTGTCGAAAGTCAAAAATTTTGCCAAACAGACACTGAGACAGGCAAAAATAGCTTCTTAAAAATCTAGTATTCGGATTTCTAGGTATTCACAACTGAATTTAATTTTCGCCACACAAAAGGTCAAATGTCTAAAATTATTTTTTTTTTAAATTTTATGCTGATTGCTTAGTGACTGACAAATCAAAGTGATTGGAGGGGTACTATGGAAATTTACATGCAATGTCTTGTCTAATTTCAAGCTAGTAGACAGCTTTTTATTAATAGTTTCATCTAAATGTAAAAAAAAGAGATTAATTTAAGGGTTTACTCTTAGGTTTGTTGGAATGATAATGACATGCAGTTTGAAATGTGGTGTAAAGTTAAAGCCATCACCCCAGATAGCAAGACATAGTTGGGCCAACGTTGGCCCAATTTTTTTTTCCAACGCTGGCCCACGGTTGGTAACCTTACGTTGGCCCACGGTAATTTTGCTCATCGGCCCAACGTTGGTCCAACATGTTGGCATATTGTTGGGCCAACGTAGGTATAATTGTATGACAACTAACAGCCAACCTTAAAAACTGGTTGGTTAGGTTGGCCCAACGTTGGGCCTTTGTTGAAATGTCAGATGGAATATTGTTGGGCCAACGTAGCTATAAGTGTATGCCAACTAACAGCCAACCTTTACAACTGTTAGGTTAGGTTGGCCCAATGTTCGCCCTATGCTGAAATGTCAGATGGCATATTGTTGGGCCAACGTAGCTTTTAGTGTATGCCAACTAACAGCCAACCTTAACAACTGGTTGACCCTTTTTTACAATGTCAGATGGCAAATTGTTGGGCCAACGTAGTTATTACGTAGAAACATTTGCAATTGGTTAAGTGATTCTTTACATAAACCTATTTTATGACTGTTTAAAATAATTAATACACAATTCAATCTGCATTCATAATGCATACATGGACATGTTCAATGAAAACATTACTAATGATTCACTGTGATAATATTTTATATAAATCAATTCAATTATAATTTACAAAATAAATTTTAGAATAGACAATAGAGGTAAATTATAAAAATTTATCAATTCAAAGTTCTTAATCAGGGCTCACTTCCTTTATTACTGTCCTTTTGTTGTATTCCCGCTCTTTTTCCGTCCCTTCGATGCCTCCAGTTTTCTTCATCTTGATCCTGTCAAACGGACTCGTACTTTATACAATTCTTTACGCATGATCTTCGAATTCTTTGTTATTTACCGCGACCACATTTGTTTTCCTTGCAGTCTCTGACTGAATTTCTGTTACAGTCGTGTCTGTAATAGCCAGTTAAGAATTAGATAGATAGAAACAGCTTCAAAGATGTTATTTAACCTTTACTTACAGTGCTTGTGTGCAAAAACATGAAAAGAATGAATTCCGAATCAATTTTAACAGTTAACCTGAATAAATAAGAATAAATATACTTACATCGCTTCTAAATGCAGCTATATAGCAAGTGTATAATCCACAAATTTAAATTTCACTTCTTCTTAGCTTGCTTGCCCCAATTATCACCACCTGTGAGCAATTGAATCTGACAGCCAACTCCACCGTTTGGTCACGTGTTAGCGAACGCCTAACTTTTGTTTCGATTTAATTATAAAGCTGTGTCATTTGATTTATGTATATGTGGGCTTCATTCACATCCTATTCCTGAGAACTTATTCAGACTTCTCTAAATTCTCATGAATTCAACGCTCATGAAAAAATTCATAATTTCAAAGGTTTTATTTCTAATAAATAATCATTTATGTGCACAGTTCAAAAACTAAAAAAGAACACTTTTTGGTGCTGTGATCACTTAAGTTGAAATTTAAAATGTTTAATATATCACATCTAAACAAAAACAGTCATCCAATTAAAAGCATAGACATAGAATGTCAGCTCAGCAGCTAAAATTGACACCATCTTTAGTTGGCAGTATAATAATTGGGCCAGCGTTGGCCCAATATAAACATCCCATCTTTGAAACACCTAAACAAAAGAACACTCGTGCTAACATCGGGCCAACATACTACTACCAAATTGATAAGACACTTTCTTTAAGGGTGTAAAACAAACATTGGGCCAACATTGGGTCGACATACTACTACCAACTTTAAAAGACACTTTATTAAGTATGTTTTACAAACATTTGGCCAAAGTTGGGCCAACATACTACTATCAACTTGATAAGACGCATTCTTTTTACGGGTGTATAACAAACATCGGGCCACTGTTGAGCCAACATACTACTACCAACTTTAAAAGACACTTTCTTTAAGGGTGTGTGACAAACATTGGACCAACGTTGGGCCAACATACTACTACTAATTTAAAAAAAAAACACTTTCTTTAAGGGTGTATTACAAACATCGGGCCAACGTTGGGCCAACATACTACTACCAACTTTAAAAGACACTTTCTTTAAGGGTGTATTACAAATATCGGGCCAACGCTGGGCCAACATACTACTACCAACTTTAAAAGACACTTTCTTCAAGGGTGTATTACAAACATTGGGCCAACATACTACTACCAACTTTAAAAGACACTTTCTTTACGGGTGTATTACAAACATCGGGCCAACGTTGGGCCAGCATCAACTCCCCTCCTTCCTTGGGAGGTAAAGTGAATGGAAGTTGCTAACGTTGGACCAACGTTGGGCCAACATAGGAATTCTGTCATGGTCGAGAAGGTTGGCATGGTGACGTTGGTCCAACGTTGGCCCAACGTTGTTTCCCCAACGCCAACCTTACAACCTTTTGCCAACGTTGGCCCAACATAGTCTTGCTATCTGGGACGTTTATCATTGAGCGTGGTTGATAGATTATCATTAATGTCATTTTTCAAGAAAAATATCCAAACATGAAACAAATGTGTCAGATTCTGTGGTATCTTTTATTTCAATCTCACCAGGTTACATGTATATCGTGTCGATATAAGAATGGAAATTACCATTGTTAATTAAGAATATCTCGTCGATATATCTAAATGCCGAGTTCCAAGCCACAGCACGTGTTTTCCTCTTTTCACATATAAGATTTTGGAGAAAATATGCTTCATATACTGAAAGGAAATTAATTGTATACTCGAACAATATATACTCTATTTATTCGGAACTATCAAAAAAATAACATTGTAGGTAGGCTACTGTTGAAGTCAAGCTATAGAAAAAAGTATGACTTCCGTTTTCTATGCTTATGTCTTTCAGATTCATGATATGATATTGCTGAATGTAGCCCTGCAGTATATATCAATCTAACACTTATTTTACCACATTCTATGAACTGATTCAGACATAAATATAAAGAACAGTAATCGAGGTCAAAAGTCCTTGTAACAATGCAGATTCGATATGTGCAAACATGGACCTAAAAAAATGCTAGAGGTGGGGCCAGGCATGGAGGAGTAAGCATCCTCAAAAAATAATCGTGCAATTTTATTTCTTTTCACAGGAGGCACAATTTCTTTCAGTTCTGCGTAAGAAATCACTTTGTGTTCTTAGTCCGGGACTTTCAAAGAGTGATTTCATGACGAAATATGCAGGTTATACTCAGAGTCCCAGTGCTATAATCATGTGCGTTAATTATGTTCCTGAAGGCGGGGTTTTAAATTGCATTTGCCGTCGGCACATAGGAAACAATTGTTCTTTTGCACGTTTAAATATCCTATTACGATCAGATAAGAAAAGATTGTAATTAACTGATTGAATTTAAACCTTACATGTTTTAAACCAGATTTCAGGTTTTAGTGTATCAGCAAGTTGTTTTCTCAAATACGAAAATACCTGTTCTTTATGAAATAGCCACTTAGTTTCTTTGGGACAATTCTTTGCAAAATTATCGGTGAGATGGCAACATTGAAGAAGATTGATCAAATTCAGCTTGCAAATTGGATTGGTAGAGAATGTCACTTCGATCTTCTTTACGCAGTGAGCAGAGATGGTTGTACCGGTGCGAAATTCCACGAACTATGTGACAATAAAGGACCCACTGTGACTGTCTTCTTCAATGCAGACGATAATGTTTATGGTGGATATGCATCTAAAAGCTGGACAAGTAACTCAGAATGGGTAAATGACAATGTTGCCTTTTTATTTAAGCTGTACACCAAAAACATGTGGAAGCCACAACAATTTACAAATAAATGTAAAGACCAAACATTTGCATGTGAAAATAAGTGGGGACCGTGGTTTAGAGAGTTGCACAGTTTCAAAAGTCCTATCGAGAAAAAAACAAATGTTTATAATCTTGATAAGGAATCTCTCTTTAATGGAGAATTCTTTAACATAGAGAAGGAAAATGCAGGATCCATTGCTTCTGGACACAATAACGTGAAGGATTTGGTTGTTTACGCAGTGCTTGGTAATATTTTAAAATACCTCTACCAAAGAGTCTAGTGCCACCAAGACACTTATTTAAACACAAATTAATATATCTGATGAATGCATAACTCGAAACTGTTTTGGTAAAAACACAATCCCAAGTCTTTATATCTTTTTTAGATGGACCTGGCTCTCTCACTCCATGGAGAATTCCTCCTTTATGGACATTACAGGTGAGAGCTAGTTTCCTTAATGTACACAGTCTCCAAGTTCTTTTTATCTAAAATGTTGGAAACACAGTTTTTAATACATACAGTTTTTAATACATGCAGTGTAGTTATGCAGCTAAGATTTTTCATAACGTTTGATTCGAAGTAAAACATTTCAATTATTTCAGAGGTGATGCGTCGGCCGGGAGGGTTGGGGGGGGGGGTGGCTCTTACTTTCTATCTTTCAAATACATAGTCATATGTACATTATTTTCATTTGAATACAAATAAAATATTGAAATTATTTGGTAAATCAAATTTTACATTTTAGATTAATACATACATCATTTAAACGTTTTTAAATTATTGTACATGTGTATCAATTTTTTATCGCTGGCTCTCAGGAATTGGAAGAGCAGCTTTTAAATGTACTTTTTTATTCCTTTTAGGCTTGTCAGGATTTAAAAGACTTTATTTCGACGTATCAACCTCCTAAGGACCTAGATGTTCCTGACGTCAACATATTGCTTGTAGGTGCGGTTGGAGCAGGAAAGTCTAGTTTCCTTAACACAGTAAACTCTATTTTCCATGGAGATATAACATCACGCGCATGTACAGGAAGTTCTGACCACAGCCTAACAACAAAAGTAAGGAAATTTGTGTGAAAAATATTTCCTCATATGATCTAAATTTAAAAGTTTACATTATTTTTACATCATATTTAATGAAATAAAATTGTTTCACAAAAATGAGGAAAGTAAATTGGAAACCCTTATTTGAATCATTTATGGTAAAATATCTTCAGAGTGACTGCCGTCTTAAAGCTTGTTCTTTATGTTACAAATCATAATTAACAAAAATAAATAGATACTCTGTAACTAAATTAATAGTCATGAAACAACACCTTTTGTACATTTTCCAAGCTTAAAATATAACACAAAAAACCGATGTGAATAGATTGCTTCATTTGTAATATAGTATTTTCACAATTAGTAGTGAATGAAAGACACCATTTTTTAAAAATTTTACCTAAATCATGAATAGGGATATTCTTTCAGTGACCAATGTATTAAAAAGATCAATGCAATCAGAACTGTTGCAAAACTTGTGCAACCAATGTCATATAACAATCATTGCGTGTATAAACATGTACCGAAAAAATCATACACTTGTACGATATGTCCCTTTTAAGCTTCACCGTTTTACTAATGCTTTCCGTTTTATTTAGCTTCAGCAGCTGCGGGTTCGAGATCCATCCTCAGGATCTTATATGCATGTCCGACTTTTCGATACTCCTGGCATAGAAGAGGACCTTTCAATCAAACAAGAAGACATTGGCTTTATCCTTGATGGTCATCTTCCAAATCAATACAAGGTAATGGGTTTCTTTGCATATACATTTTTCTAATTTTGGAGATAAGATGTAAAAAAAAATATACAGTAAATAGTTATTGTTTTGGGGGATTTTACAGTATCATGCCAAATTCAGATGATATATTAATATGCAAAGCCAGATGTTTAGGGAATTTTGTTTCAGTTTTTTCTATGTATAGAAAATATATTTCATTCATGAATGGAGATAACGAATAGCTTTGAAGTTCAAAAGTCCATTAACCTGTACAAGTCAGAAGTAGGGCAAACACAAGTCGACTTTTCAAACTTCAAAAGTGGGATCATGTGTCTTTGAGGAGTGAACATCCACTTATCACACAAACAGTGTACCCCTTTTCATGATCGGGTAATATCAGAAAAATCCGTTTACAATTCAGTGTTTAAATAATACATACGTACATTCTTTAATAAATGGCTCAAGCCAAGCAATATTCGCAAATAAAAAAATGCAAATATCAGAAAATAACTATAAAAAGTTGGGGTTTTTTTGTTGTTTCTTGTTTTATTGCAAGTTATGAGCTATATTAGCTATATTATAAAATGTTCGATCTTCAAATTTAGTTTAACCCATTCTCACAAGCCTCTCCAGATGTACCTGATTTTAAGCAAGAGACCTCAATCAAAGATAAAATTCACGTCGTGACTTATGTGATTGATGCTAGTACTATTGGAGAAATAAAGCCAGGCGTTGTACACACACTGAGTGTTATCAAAAGACTCATTGTAGACAGAGGTGAATGTTTAAATATAAACCTTATATCTTAAATTAATGATCTTTATGTAATATCGTTGTAAATGCTTGAAAGTGATTTTATTACAAGGTATAGAAAGTCATTTAAAAATTCTTAACTGATTTAACTCTGTGAAAACTATGATTCAATTTTATTTTTTTCTTTTATCAATAAAAAATTTAAAGGTTCTAAATAGATGAACTGTATTTCTCTTTTTTCCAGGTGTTCCTTTGGTTGTCCTTTTAACAAAATTGGATAAGGTGTGTCAGCTTGTGGAAAACGATATCACAAACATCTTTAAAATTGAAATGGTAGAAGGAAAAGTCAATGAGGTTGCACAAATGATAGCCATCCCTAGATCACACGTTCTTCCGGTTAAAAACTACGAAAAAGAAACCGAATTGCAAACTGAAATAAGCATACTTGCCCTACATGTACGAGCGATGAAACAAATTCTCACATTTGCCAATGATTACTTTGAGAATTACCTGGATATGGCAGTCATCCCAAACAAAACCTTCGCTCAGTTTAAAAGCAATGACTGATCCGTGATAAAACAGACTGAAGACATTTGTTTTCCTAATCTTTACATTCATTTCAATTAAAACAAGCAAATTTAAAGAATTGTGGTCCACCGCTTTCGGTGTTTTTGTGGGTGAGATGTCATTTTTATGAATATTGTGTCAAATATGAACGCTTTATCATATGTCCTTTAGAAATTATAACCGATTTTTTTAATAAGGTCAATCGTAAAGATCAAGGGCTAAGATATCATACCATGCTCGGAAATATCTGATTACAGGTACTGAACATGTCAAATAGGAAAGCCCCATCTTTTCTCAATATAAGGAACAAGATGTGTTTGTGAAACCCTGATGACCGCGTATGGCAACATAGCAAAGATTAAATTTTTCTCAAATGCAAAACATATATGTATATTTTACTCAAAGTAGGGTCTTCCAACAAGAAATACAACTGTGAAATACGAAATCCCTAGCATCACCGGTTCAAAAGTTATGGCCGGGATAAATTTTTGAAAGATAGGTCAAACTCCATGGTCAAAGGGCAAAAGTTGTAGGTTTCTTAAGAAAGGTCTTGCCACAAGTATTACATATGTGAAGGATGAAAACCCTAACTCTAACTGTTCAAAAGTTATGGCGAGGTGGGTCAATCCCCAAGGTTAAGGTCATTCTTGATATCCAAGGTCCTGTCGGAAGGATTAAATATGTAAAATATGAAAGCCTTAGCACTAACCCTTCAAAAGTTATGGTCAATTTTGTTTTTTAATAGGTTAAATTTCAAGGTTAAGGTCAACGGGTCAGACTTCTTGAAATTCAATGAAAGGTCTGCTCAAAAGGATAACAAAAGTAAAGAATAAATTAAAGCCCTAGTTTATACTGTTCAAAAATTATGGCCAAATTTAAAGTCATGATTTGAACAAAGAGTAAAATATATTACATATGCAATCTACAAATTTGTCTGAAGCGGATAAGTAGTCATGCATCGTGTGAATTTGAAATCCGTATTGGGACCCGCTTTGCCTCGCCAAATACGGATTTCCATTTCACACCTGTTCGACACTCTATAAGGTACCTAACTGACTGTGTAACTAATAGCATTCCTTTTGGTAAACTTCATTAGGATTAGCTAGGTAATAATAATCATTATTTTTTTTTTATTTAATAAAATCAATGCAAATATCTATTCTATGCCATATCTTGTGCACATATATTTTGTGCCCATGTCAAAACATTGGGGTAAATGAAATCTTGTTATTTACAGTGTGATTATATGCAACTGCATTAATGGTTAGAACTTCACCAAATTGACCTTACTTTTGTGTCCTGAAAGAATGTCTTGACCTTGATTCAAGATCATTTTGGTACATACAAGGTCACTCGCCAAAAAGATGTAAATTTAATCCAGTTCATTACTCTTTAGTATATAAATATAGGATTACAGTATTATATAATATTTCAAACGAAATGTTCGTGCATTAAAAGTATATCATAACCTAGAACCAAGACCATGCTGGCAAGTGCAATGTCACTGCCAGAAAAAAAAAAGTGTGAGTATAATTTTCTGTTTCCAGAACATAAGAAGTTCTCATATTAAAGAAAGATTACTTGTATTTGCATCCAGGTTGTGTCACTTTTTACAAAAAAAATGTCAGTGGGTCAAAATTCAAGAAAAAAATGCACTGAAATAAATTAAAGGGGACTATTCATACGTTCTTTTATATTTCTTTTAAATCTTCTAAATCCAGTGAAAGAAAGAACAAAAGAAATGATAAATTCTAGTTGCTAAGTTACTCAGTTCAACCCTTCCTTAAATACAACACTCAAAGAATGATGAATCCCTAATTTGTCCATGTAAAAAAAATCTCTACTTTCAATTTTTGTTCAATGTTCTGAATGATGAATATTGAAGTTAAGTGCATAAATATTAAATCATTAATTAAATTACAGTACAAAATTACATAATTGTAAAAATGAAATAATCCATTTAGGGCTGTTACCGTGTCACGTTTTTGTTTTGGGGGTCGCAGTCGATATCACGAAACTCGATAAGATTCGTCCTTATGTAGCTTAGAAGATATTCCATAGCTTCACTTGCAATCAGGCATTGGATTCCATCGTTGACGCCATTGGTGTTCTTAGATAACACCTTTTCCACGTAAAGAACAATGAGAAAGACACAAACTTTCATTTTTCTAATCAACATCCTGGCACAATCAGCCCTTCTTAAAACACGTGTTTAATGCAAATGACAATTTAGAATATCCTGAAAAACGGAGAATGATCTGAATGCACATTCAATATTATACAATTGACTATAATTATAATCATGTATATAAATTAATTTGAAGTTTGAAGAGCGGAATTTTTCACACAAAATGGGTAGATCATCGATTTAGTCAAAATTACAAAGGTGTCCATTTTCATGTATACAGAAATCTTTATTCGTTGCTAAGTGATATATATATATATATATATATATATATATATATATATATATATAGAGAGAGAGAGAGAGAGAGAGAGAGAGAGAGAGAGAGAGAGAGAGAGAGAGAGAGAGAGAGAGAGAGAGATATAAATATATATACGTGCCCTTACTTTCAGCACAAATTATATGTTTTTTGTTGATTTGAACTGCTTACCGTACATGATTTTTTTATTTTAAAACAAAAGTAAAACATTTTTGGAGAACGTTTCACACTTGCTCTTCGTAAAGGTATAATGTTTTGTTTTTTACTTAGAATAAGTATCTCGTTTTATCGAGTTATTTCAACGTAAAAAAAATTCTTATGAAATTTCTCATCATGTTAGATATGCCTACGTGCAAGTCTGTTTGAATCACATACCAATAATTAGCACTAACTTTAAAAACATTCCTTATATTTACATTTTACATGTTTGGAAGGAGCTAAAATATACTCAATATTTGAATTTCTCGCTGCCCTATAAATTCAAATATTGAATTTCTCGCTGCCCTATGTCGTTGCGTTTTTACCAACGTCGCTGCAGCCTCATAATGTGACGTCACGTTAACGCATGTTTCTCTGTGTATATTTCTAAGTGTTAGTATACACGAAAATGGTAATCAAATCATTTTCGCCGTTGCCATAGTAGAAAAACACGACGAATGTAAATATACATATATACATTTAAACATGAAGAAATAATTATTTCAAATCATAGGATTTTTATTAGATAAAATATTGTACTTTTGATACGAACGTCATGGTTCGTTTTAATAATGGAAGTCATGGGACAACAGTTGGTCAAGAAATCTGTATACTGAGGTACAAATATTTAATAAGCTACATACAATGTAAAGGAAACTTTAATGTTGCTTCATTTGTTGACCAAGATCATTCTCAGCACATATTTTTTCATGAAAAAAAAAATACTGTAGTTCTTTTGATTAACGTTGATTTTTTTTATCGGTATTAAACATAATATATGTAAAGGAAAAAGAACGAGACTTTGTAAATATATTGTGAGTTACTAAATCATTGAAAACGTCTAAACATCATGAAATTAAATACCAGATAATGAGATATACGACAGATTTCTGATGGGAAACTTCAAGCACACATGGAAGATAAAATCTTAGAAACCATTAAAATTCATAATAAATGATTTTTTTCTCTCTAATCAAAGAAATATTTTATGTACCGGGTTATTTACATTTATATTTATAATCAAGATGAAAAATTGTTTGAAAGGAATTCAACTTTTACTTTATTATCATTATAAAAATCCATTATAATATTATAATTTTTTCTTAGAAAGCGGTATGCTTGGAATTTGCAAATGCAGAATACAAAACCAGATATCAGAATGGATAGAGAAGGAATGTCATTTAGAGCTTCTGTACAGGATTAGTCTCCATGGGTGTACCCCTCAGAAGTTCCACTCACTATGTGACAACAAGGGACCTACGGTGACTATCTTCTACAACACTGACAACAATGTGTACGGCGGTTACGCGTCACAGAGCTTGAATAGTAGTAACAAATGGATAAGAGACGAAAAGTCATTTCTGTTTAAGATTCTCAGTAACGATAAATGGAAACCCATAAATTTCCTTTAATTAAATCGACTGCAGGTTCAAATGTTGCAGTGTACAGCATTCATGGACCTTGGTTCGAAAATTTAAGATCCTTTTGTGGTTCTCTAGAGAAAACATCTGGGCATTATTCACTGTACACAGACGGCTTATTTTGTGGTAGTCACTATGATGTTGGTGAAGAGAACACGCAATCAATAGCGAACGGACATAATAATGTCTTCGACCTAGAGGTATACCTCGTTAAAGGTAATGAATAAAAGATTTATATAACATTTCTTGTCTTCTACATATTTAAGATTAATTTTAATGTTGTATTAAAGGGTTAAGACTCCATGATCTTATTCGTTACAGTGATAATTCATAATTGTAATCAAAAAAGTGGTTGACACTTAATATTGTTCCAAATGTGCTTTATTAAACAGATGGACCAGGAATCTGTTATCCTTGGAGAGAGCCACCTGTCTGGGAATTAGTGGTAATATACTATCGTTTATAAAGAATTTCAGAAGCTTTATATCAAATTAATAGTTTTCTTTTGCAACTTTTAAACACATAATACAAGAAAAGTATCAACATTTTTTAGCTAAAGGAAGATAATTCAAATTACTAAAAAATAATATAATTATTAAAATTCTAGGAGTAGCTTTATTGTAATAACTTGGGTTGCCTAGGAATTTTCGTTTTTATCTCAGTAACATCAATATATGTTTCATTATTTACTTTAATATCTGTTTCGTGTCTGAGTCGAGATATCCTTCCATCGACAAAATAAAAGAATAAAAAAATACTACAGATATATGCATTCTCTTTTTTTTTTACTGTTTACGTCTCCATAAATTATGCAAGTCGTAAAATGAGAAGTTCATATCTAGTTTCACTAGTAAAGAAAAAAAAAATCACTATTGTTTATTTTATCAGCTTAGGTAATATTAAATCCATTTCTATTTAAGGTAGAATATATGTCGGAAAAATCTTTGCTACAAGATTTTTGAACTTTTAAAATGATTAATTAGCACGTGCACTCGCTTATCAATCAATTAAAAGCACATGACATGTTTCCTTGTTATCAAATGTAATGCTTTTTTAGTGTATTTAAAAATTTCGTATTCGACAGAAAAACTGGTATTGTCCCAAACCATTAGAAAATATATA